GACAGAAGAGCAGATTTGTCAAGCAGGACCGTCCTCTACGGAATCCGTGTTGCTTACGAAGTATATAACGCCGTCCATATCAATTGCCCTCATAAAATGAGAAGAAATGAATAATCTCCCTGCGCCGAAGATATACACTGCGAATTTTTAAAACCTCAAACATTAATGCCGTTTTTATTTGAGTTCCAAGTAAATCTGGAATTATAAAAAATTTTTAAAAGAATAAAGATACCTATCCGTTTACGATAAAATTTGCACAAGATCCAATCAGTACAAGAATAAATAACTTTATGTCTACTGTCTATAAAAAATTTTTTTTAATTTTCAACGGCATCGAAAATCAATAGCAAAAAAATAAACCTACGTAAATATTCTATTTTTATTAATTGTAGTTTTCAGGCGGCTGAAAAAGCGTGCGTTTGAAAGCTGGCGTTCTGGCATGCCTGATATATTGTTGAATTCTCCTGCACACTAATTACTTCTACAAACGTTAAGTTATTAGTTCTTTCTAATCGAAAATTATTTCAAAAGTACAGGTTACATTTCAAGAGATGGTCCTACTACAGTACTTTGCCCTGCGTTTTGATATTTAATAAGTAGGTTTTACTATTTTGCCCTTTATCTTAATAAAATTCGCATGCATTACCCAAGCAGTTACTTTGATGCACATGTCGACATCCAAAACTCCTTGAAAACGCTCCTAATCCAGCTACATTGACTTGACCTGGTTAGTGCGACTGGTATTTCGTTTACATGCTTGGCTAGACTCAACACTGACCTAGTAATCTGTTGCTGTTCGTCAAAACCTGCACGACGCCAGGTCAGCCGCACTCTCCTTGTGTTGTGATTGGCCCCACGTGACAAGAGCGCAGTTTGCCCTACTTCCGAATAAATAGGCTGACTGTGCCCGTAATCTCATCATAAGGGCTGATGGAGACTCTAAAAATGTCGAAAGCGGAGGAAGAATCGACCGGGTCAACAAAGGAGGACGAGGAGGACTCGCTGAAATATATCACACGGCAGAACAAATGCCTCCTCTGTCTCCGCGATAATGTCTTCACACTCGTCACCCTGGGAGGCGTTGGCGTGGGCTTTGCGCTGGGCTTTGGCGTGCGAGCTGCAAAACCATCTCCTGAGGCGGTGGACTGGATCGGTGAGTTCTACCTCCTGCTAGGTGATGTATTGTTTTCGGGACTACCCACTGACTGCAAGACCTCGTGCGAGTTCAGTCGAGTGATTGTATCAACTTGGCTCTTTGCAGAAACTTAATTTTTATATTACTAGTGAGTAACTCTGAGAACCGTTACCGTAGGTTATTTCTGACGGAAAAATATGTTTATTTAGGTCATAAAAACCACTAAAGCTTTGAATGCAACTGCGGAGTTTGGGTGTGAATTTGGGTTCATCGGCCAGGATACAATGTGAAAGTCGGAGAATAAAAAAGACTTCAGTTTGTCAGTTTACCTCTGACGTTACCAGTGCATCAAACAATTTCTACTTCGTCGTTTATAACCGTAATAAGTGGCTTAAATGTCATTTCAACCATGTCATCGGTCTGCCACCAATGTGCTAGACTTTGAGTTGGTCAGGTGACCACAAGACCGCAGGCTCACCGCTTAAACATCTTACTATTTGCGGTAAATTTCCCCAAACTCTGAATTCATTCGCAAGTAGTTGTTTGCTTGGATGTTTAGTGAACCTGACTGAGGACGGTAGAAGCTATGACACAAATATGCCTGCTTCATTAATCAACAGGGAGGCCTGTCCAGCGCTGCGGCAAAGATGACTCGGCAGACACCAGAACATAGATTGGACTAAGAGAAAAGTGTGAACTTATCAAAAATAGACTTTATTTTTAATCTTCGCCGACGGTACAGGACTGATGCAGTTCAATGGATAGTTTTATTTTCTGCTTATTTTTTTTAATGAAATATTAAATATCAACCACAACAAACTGTAGTCGGTAAATCTTTGGGGCATGGCAAGCGAAGAGAATCACAACTTCCCCAGGAGATTAGGGCAGAAATTACTTGAAATTAAATATTGGCGGGAAATTTTGAAATTTGGCTTCCATTTGAAAATCTTATTGCATTGGAGTCGTAATAGTTTGATGCAGCAGAATTTCTAGATATAAGGGCCACGATATGATAAGATTTTTATAGCAATTCACGTCTATGTTATATCATAGATTATGGTGAAAGTGTGAAAACTCTTTTTGGATTATATTCTCTCCCAGAGTAAGTAAAGTAATGGACCAGGTGCGTTTCATAAACAGACTAATGTTACATTTTCGTGCTCACAATGATTCACACCGCATGCGCGCTGCAGTTCAACGGTGATCAAACAATATGTGTTCATCTGAGTTCGCTGACTGTTTGCTAGCCTTGCATGTCATGTGTATGCATTATCCGTTTCTGCTATTATCTCTGATGATGGATCAACGGCAGATTTCGAAACGTCAGGTAAATGAAATGCTCCTTCCAATGATCACATCTGCTTCTTCTGAAGTACTTCCTGGAGCTCCTTTTCTCACTCATATTGGGAACATTATCCAAGGTAATATTATCGAACTTTACCCACTGATCCCTACCATAGTCTCCATGGCAACCTGAGATGTTGGATCTAGTTGAACTAGTCAAATTACCAACCACCCAGATAGACCTTGTACGAGTATTGGCTTGCACGTCGCCCTGAGTATGTACGTAAATGTAAACATATCCATTGTCTTCGATGGGTTTGACGTCCGAGCAGGCACGCCTCGGAGCACCAGAGAAGGAGAGTTTTCCCAATATAGAATAAGCCACCGCAATGCTAGAGAATTTGAGCTGTGCGCTTGCATTGAACACAACGTGAGTGGTTTGCCGATCCACGCGCGGGGAGGCAAAACGGATATATGTTCTACCTCATCACTGCAAAACTGCTGGATTACATGGTCGTTAGGTGGTGCTGTTGCCGTGAGGACGGAGTCAGGTGCTGAACCGATCGTCACTTTGTCGCTGTAAGCACCCCAAACACGCACACGCCTTTCC